AAAAATAATGCCTTACATGTTTATTTTTTAAAATTAATTTTAACTAATTTTTTAATAAATATAAATAGATAAAGTTTATTTCATATTTTGAACTGGACGGAGTAATTATGAAAAGTAATTACATCTTCATTGCTCCATTGATTAAGATATAATAAATATATAATAAAATGAGTAATTAACTAATTATATAATACTCTAGACAAAAAGTTGCCTTTTTTTTTGGCCGGAAGTTATCACTTATGTTATAAAAGAAAAATAGAATAATTTCTTTGCCAACAAAATGATTATATGACTTTATTTTTTATCTAATAATAATGTCAATTTTTAGGTAGAAAAGAGAATAGAATGCGCAGCTTTAGAGTAGCGGTTGCTGAGATGGTGGCCAAACATAAAATACTACTCCTCCGACTCTTAATATAAGACATATTTAACTAATTTGATTATATTAAGGAAGTTATGTAAGTTAGTTAATTATAAAAAAAGTGACACATTTTTTCTAAAGCACCATAATCATCTTTCTTAATACTCTATCTTCCTCTTCTATTTAATTATGGTTTAGGGAATATTTATATGAGTAATTTAGAGAAAATTGTTAAATATGATAAATGGGTCTTATATTTACGATCAAAACTAACTTAAGAATTAGGTTTTATATTAAGAACCAGAAAAATATATTCTTTTGCAATTAAAACCTATTTAACTAATTTAATTAGATTAAAAAAGTTAGATAAGTTAATTAATCATAACAAAATATAACATATTTTTTCTAAAACACCATAATAATTTTCTTTAATATCTTTCCTCCTCTCTTACTTAATTATAACTAAGAGAGTATTAATAGAAGTAATTTAAAAAAATTGATAAATATGAGAAATAGGCATTATATTTAAAACTAAGATCAACTCAATAATTAAGTGCTACATTAAGGATCAAAGGAGTATTAATTAGGATCAATATATGTTGATTAGGTGGTGAGAGCAGTTTAGCGTTGGCAAAAAGAAAGTGCGAGCAGTTTAGGATTTTTTTTTATTTTAGCAGAAAAATAATTTCTGTGTACTTTAGTGACGTTTAAATATAAATATAAACATAATTTTTTTTTCAAAAGCATAATGTCGTGTATGAAATATCTTTGGAATTTCTCCTGCGCCTTATTTTTCCATATTAGTTAAACAACATTTTACTTTAGGGGCGAGTGAGGGCAACATTCTAGTAAACTAGTAGTGAAATGTTTTAAAAGCAGTTTGTAATTTGCGGAATATAAAAAAAGTATCTATAATGAGTTCTGAATGAGTTATAAATACAATATATAATTTATGATAATTAAAAGATATAAATAGTTTGCTTAGTCGCTTTTTTTTTTTAAAATAACCAGTTCATTTAGTCCAAGCAATAAGCACTAGACAAGTATCATCGATAACTGACACAGACCAATTACTAATTTTGTCGGCAACTTCTTCAAATAATTAATTCTCTTCCGAAACTTAAATACGAGTGTTGACTTGAAAGTCGAAGGCATGCACATTTTCCCCCCAGCTACATCGAACATTTAGTAATTATATTTAATCATATTTTTATAATTACCTTAGTCCACGCGCTATGATTTTAAATAACAGTAGATATAGAATTGACGGAGTAATCAATTTTTTTGGTCTTAAAAACTATATTCCCTTGCTTATAGTTCAAAACTTTAAATTAAATCTGTTAAAAATTAGTTTATTTGAGGACGCTTAGCTTGTATCAAAAAAAAAAAAACGAAATAAGGGCGTGCTTAAAATATGTTGGGAAGTTGGGTGTTTTGAACATGATTCATTTGTTTTTGACGGGGTAGAATTTTGATCAGAAAAAAAAATATATATGAAGCATGAAGGTCCTGATGGGTTTTTGCCCACTCACCATACACTTGAGCTAAGGTCCAATGAGGCCCAACTTGTTTTTAAGAGGCCCGAGATTAGTAGCCAGAGGAAAATAAAGCAAAAACGATTCCCGTAGTAGCGGTGAGCGAAATGGGAGCAGCCTAAACCGTGAAACGGGGTTGTGGGAGAGCAATACAAGCATCGTGCGTGCTAGGCGAAGCGGTGGAGTGCTGCACCCTAGATGGCTGAGTCTAGTAGCCGAAAGCATCACTAGCTTACGTTCTGACCCGAGTGTAGCATGGGGCCACGTGGAATCCCGTGTGAATCAGCAAGACCACCTTGCAAGGCTAATACTCCTGGGTGACCGATAGTGAAGTAGTACCGTGAGGGAAGGGTGAAAAGAAACATGTATTGAAAACCGGACCGGACCGGCCGGTTCAGACCGGAGAAACCGGTGAAACCGGCCAGGGAACCGGTCCGGTTCAGCTGTGAACCGGGGGTACTGTGCAACCCGGTGTGACCCGGCTTGAACGGGATGACTCGGACTGAACCGGGGTGACCCGCCGGTTTGGTGGATCAACCCGGTCTCCCTTTTTTTAAAAAAAAAAAATATTTTGATGATTTTTTTAAAAAGCTGTTGATAATTAGGACTTAGTGATTGAGTAATTATAAGGAGAAATATTTTATTATCATATATCCATTTTGATATTTTGTTAGGAAGAATATTTAGTGATTTTAGTAGTATGATATTATAAGAAATTGTAAGAATGTAATTATTTTACTAGTAATTCAAGATATTAAATTGATATCTAATTCTTAGTGAACATTTAAATTATTTTTTATTTTTTTATTTCTCACCGGTTTGACCCCCGGTTTGACTCCGGTCTGACCCACTGACCCTTGACCCATTGCCTTGACCGGTTCAATTGCCGGTCCGGTTTTCAGTACCTTGGAAAAGAACCCCCATCGGGGAGTGAAATAGAACATGAAACCGTAAGCTCCCAAGCAGTGGGAGGAGCCCGGGGCTCTGACCGCGTGCCTGTTGAAGAATGAGCCGGCGACTCATAGGCAGTGGCTTGGTTAAGGGAACCAATCATGGGTGCGGTCCAATGAAGCCAATCCTTTGTACTCACATTATTTTGGGCTGGCGTCCAATGAGGCCCAACGTTATACCTGGAATTTATATCATGGCTGAGATCCAATGAACCCAATCCTTTGTACTTAACTTATATCATGGGTTCCGCCCAATGGGCCCAAACTCATCTGGGTTAGGCCCAACGTTTTATTAGCTTTGGAATCTATATCATGTCCAAGGAACCCAATCCTTTGTACTCATTTACATCTGGGCTGAGGCCCAACCAGGCCCAGAGTTTATCGGCAGGCCCGAAGTTAAGTTTTGCATTTGTACCAGCGCTTTTCCTTGTTTGATTGGTAATTCGAGTGTTACTGACCGGCCCATTACATGAAAAGTATGGTTCTGGTTATATTTCTGGCCCAATCATTTTTTGGGTTTTCTTTTCTTTTTTGTTTTTGTTTGCATTGGTTCACTTGTTTTGATAATATGACTTCAGAAGTCAAGAGTATGATTTGTTTAAAAAAAGATTAATACAATATAAATAGCAATAATAATACTCCTCCGGTCCTTATTATAAGACCCAATTTGACTTTTTATTTGGTCCTAATTATAAGACCCAATCCATTTTGTCTCTTATATTTATATATTTTTTTCCAAGATAATCCTTCTAATAATGATAGTTTTAGCCAATATACTTAATTAGCAAGGATATTTTAGGAATGACAACACTTATTTATTATAAATAACCAATTTAACTTACTTCCTTAATTTCCTCAAATAAGTCAATTGGGTCTTATAATTAGGACCGGAGGAGTAGTTCTTAATTTTATGTCTTGGTCATTTAATTTTTATTAGCCAGGTAGACGTTGCATTTTGCCTATTTTGCTCATTGTTAAATCAGATAAAACTAACAGCATTATGCTACAGAGGTTCTGCAAGTAACATTAAGAAGTTACTAGTGCTGCGATAATGGAGTAAATATTTCAAAAGCCATGCAAATTCCAAAATGCACACAGAAAAAACAAGGACAAAAAACGAAGAACAATTGAAGTCAAGTACTATGAAGAACGTACGTATGGGTCGGTACAAAATTATTAGATATATACGAGAGTGGGATGGTGGGTTCACTTCCATGATCCATATATCTTCTATATATGTCTTAGAAGTCACCCAAGCATGAGTGACTCTTTGCCTTTTCATCTCTATCCATATGTACCACAAAACTTATCCCAGAAGGAATCATAATATAGTAATTTGCAGGCAAAGCTGAAATTATACTAACTTGATCAGCTTATCATATTGAGCTACATCATTTGAACAAATTATTAAGTGTTATCTAAACAATATTGGCACTACGTTAACTGAGACTTTTTGGACCATTTGCAGTGGTGGTGCCACTGGCTAGCGACAACATCGCCTAAAGAAGCTTTTGTTTCGCCTAAGCATCTTATAATAATTACATATTTGATATGACCTAAACAACCAAACACACATACACACACGTTTAATTATTTTCCAGCTAGATTCTGTCTCAGTTTACAAGCAACCACCTTTTAGATTTTACAGCAAGCAAAAGGAAACCTGATCGCGTATATCGAGAATTGCACATTTTTATGCGTGTGGTAAATATACGGATGTTTTCATAACTGATCACTGTAGTTCATTCACGCCTGTCAAAACGCCTCACACTCTTATCCCTTCCCACAAATAAGCTAGGCCAAACACATTGGTTCCGTTTAGTACGAAGTATTGAAAATTAGAGATAAAAATTAATATTGTAATTGAGAAAAATTATTAAAACAGTATTTTAGACAAACCCATAAAGATGGGATTAGGGAATATCATCTCCCCCTATACTATTTTCTAATCTCACAACCATGGATTTATTTAATCCCATGTAACAAGTAATTTCTCACAGCAAACACTCTTTTAACGGACTTTCTTATTTCTAATCCTTGCCCTTCGTTTTTAATACTTCATACCAAATCGTGTCATTATGCTTGGCCTCAGAACTTCTATATAAATGAAGCAGAAGTGGTTACTATCTGTATATGTGTGTGTTCTACTACAACACTTCAATCTCAACACAAAACCATGAAAACCCAACTTCATTTGCTTCTTCTTCTTTCATTCCTTCTGAGCCTAAGCCTTCCCATAGTTAGCCAAAAACATGCATGCGACAAGGCCTCTTCTCAAACCGCCACCTTCCCTTTCTGCGACACTTCGCTGCCTTACGCCACCCGAGCCGCCGACCTTGTCTCTCGTCTCACCCTTCAAGAAAAGGCACAGCAGCTCGTAAACTCCGCCGCCGGCATTCCCCGGCTAGGCGTGCCACCTTATGAGTGGTGGTCGGAAGCGCTCCATGGTGTGTCCAACGTAGGCCCAGGCACAAAGTTCAACAAAACAGTGCCTGGCGCCACGAGCTTTCCGGCTGTGATACTATCGGCGGCGAGCTTTAATGAGAGCTTGTGGCTGGAGATGGGTCGGGTGGTGTCGACGGAGGCTCGAGGCATGTACAATGTGGGGCTAGCTGGGTTGACGTTTTGGAGTCCCAATGTGAACGTGTTTCGAGATCCCCGGTGGGGCCGTGGCCAGGAGACTCCCGGCGAGGACCCCTTGGTGGTGAGTAAATATGCCGTCATGTACGTTCGTGGCTTGCAACAAGTTGGTGACGACGACGAGAGAGGTGGGAGGCTTAAGGTTTCGAGCTGTTGTAAGCATTATACTGCTTACGACCTTGATAATTGGAAAGGCGTTGATCGCTTTCACTTTGACGCTAAGGTAAAAACAAAGTTGTTTCGTGTAAGACTTGATTTCTTCATAACCAACAGGAATATACTACTACTTTCGGTTTTAATTATAAGAGCTGGTTAACTAATCTCAGAAAATTAAAAAAATAAGTTAAATTAATTATTTGTAATAAATAAATGTTGTCTTTTTTAAAATATCTTTGCTAATCAAATATATTAGTTAGAACTATCATTGTTAGAAGGACGACATTAGAAAAAAATACATAAATATTAGAGACAAAATAGATTGGGGTCTTATATTTAAGACCAAAATAAAAGTCAAACAAGGTCTTATATTAAGGACCAGAGGTAGTATTTTACTGTTTTAGAAGAATGCAGGGAAGAAGGATTAATTAATGAAAGTGGGTGGGGCTTGTTGTGTGTTTTTGTAGGTGACAAAGCAAGATTTGGAGGATACATATCAGCCTCCGTTTAAGAGCTGTGTGGAAGAGGGACACGTCAGCAGTGTGATGTGCTCTTATAACAGAGTCAACGGGATTCCCACCTGCGCTGACCCTGATCTTCTCGAAGGAGTCGTTAGAGGCCAATGGGATCTAGACGGGTTTGTCTTCCATTATTAAAAAAAAAAAAAGAAAAAAAAAAGATATCCTTCTAGCTAGCTAGCTAGTTCATATGAAAGATAACTAAATTAAAAATTAGTCATTAAACAATTAATTTAATCGTTCTTTTTGGCCTTCAATGTAGATATATCGTTTCAGACTGTGACTCAGTGCAAGTTTTTTACGAGGCAATTAAGTACACGCCAACACCAGAAGATGCAGTCGCTCTTGCACTAAAAGCAGGTACACACTTTGGCTGTACTAATTTTTTCCCATTTGAGTAATTAACCTTTCGTTTTAATTAATACCAAAAGGAAAGAAAAAAAAAATTCAGATCTATCACGTCACAAATAACTATCGTCATGCAGGTTTAAACATGAACTGTGGAAACTATCTAGGAAAATACACAGTAAACGCAGTAAATTTGAAGAAGGTAGATATATCCACGGTGGATCAAGCCCTAGTGTACAACTACATAGTCCTAATGAGACTAGGCTTCTTTGATGACCCCGAGTCACTTCCATTTGCAAACTTAGGTCCATCTGATGTATGCACAGAAAGCAATCAACAATTAGCTCTAGAAGCTGCAAAACAAGGCATAGTTTTATTGGAAAACAAAGGCTCTCTTCCTTTACCCAAAACCAACTCCAAGAAATTTGCTTTAATAGGACCCAATGCCAATGCCACCAGAGTCATGATCAGCAACTATGCAGGCATACCATGTAGGTACACCAGCCCTCTACAAGGGCTAAAGAAATATGTTTCAGACCTAAGTTATGCGGCTGGTTGTAGAGATGTGAAATGTGGTGATCAGAGTCTAATAGCCGGAGCTGTGAAAGTGGCAGCTAGTGCTGATGTGGCTGTATTGGTTGTGGGGTTGGATCAATCTGTTGAAGCAGAAGGGCTTGATAGAGAGAACCTGACATTACCTGGGTTTCAGCAGAAGCTTGTGAAAGATGTGGCTGGTTCTACTAATGGGATAGTGATCTTGGTGATTATGGCTGCTGGTCCTATTGACATATCTTTCACTCAAAGTATCAGTAACATTGGAGGGATTCTGTGGGTAGCATATCCTGGTCAAGATGGAGGAGATGCAATTGCCCAGGTTATATTTGGAGATTACAACCCAGGTATGCATACTGAACAAACACAAAAGTTTTTCTTTTTCTTATTCAAAACCACATTACGATTGCTAATACTAACTAAAGGCTGAAACTTTCAGGTGGGAGGTCCCCATTTACATGGTACCCACAATCATATGTGGATGAGGTGCCTATGACAGACATGAACATGAGAGCCAATGAGTCGAGAAACTACCCAGGAAGAACCTACAGATTCTACACTGGGAAAACGCTCTATCCATTTGGCCATGGCTTGAGCTACTCCTCTTTCTTCACTTTCATAGCCTCCGCTCCTTCAACGCTTTTTGTTCAAAGCAACTCCCCATCACTTGCCTTCAATCGTGAACTTGATGAGTCTCTCTATGAGGGACAAGCACTGGACGTATCAACTCTAAATTGCTTGGACTTGACATTCTGGCTTGTGGTTGGTGTGAAAAACAATGGGCCCAAGTATGACGGGTCCCATGTGGTGCTTGTCTTCTGGGACTTGCCGCGATGGAAGGAGCAAATTGTTGGAGCTCCGGTGACTCAGTTGGTGGCATTTAAGAGGGCGGAAGTGAAGGTTGGGAAGATAGAGTTTGTGAACGTGAAGATAAATGTGTGCCAAGATCTGAGTGTGGTGGATGGTGAAGGGAAGAGGAAGGTGGTCATTGGAAAGCATACCGTCTTGGTGGGATCTTCCAGTGAAGCTCAGGTGAAACACGAGATTGATGTTAAAGTCTCAGGAAGTGGAAATGGAGAAGGATTCATGTCTAGCTAAGTGATCGAGTCCATCTGGCAGCTATAAGCTTAAATTACGGAATTGGGATAGTATAGATTATAGAATAAAGTTTGAGTGTGGAGAGTGATTGGATTTGGGAGAGTCCTTCTTCTGATACTTAATTACTTATATTATGAAAGTTTGGTCTAAATTAATACTACTTCCGGTTCTTAATATAAGACCTTGTTTGACTTTTATTTTGGTTCTAAATATAAAATCTCAATTTACTTTGTCTCTCATATTTATCTATTTTTTTCCAAGATAGTTTTTAATAATGGTAGTTCTAGATAACAAACTTGATTAATAAGGATATTTTAGGAAAAACAACACATATTCATTACAAATAACTAATCTCTCCAAATTAGTCAACTAGGCTTATAAGTTATAATTGGAACCGGAAGTAATAGATACTAATATAAAATGATTAATTAATACTTGCTGATGTTAAATTCTGGCTTAGAAGGAAAATTTTTTTGGCAAGGACGCTAGAGGAAGGGCTTGAACCTTCGACCTTGTGGTTAACAGCCACACGCTCTAACCAACTGAGCTACTCCAGCTCGATGACCCTTTTTTGCGATATAGACTAATCAGTCTCTTTCATGGTACGGACCTCATAGCATCTCTGCTCACACAGTTGGAAAATTAATGTATTAATTGATTCAATTTTTGGGGTTGGGGTTGGGGTTGGGGTTGGGGTTGGGGTTGGGGGGAACATAACTCATTAAAAAGTGTTTTAGAATCTTATTTTTTGATACATTATTAAATTGTACTACCTCTGGTCCTTAATATAAGATCTGTTTGATAGTTCTAGTCAATATACTTGATTAGTAAGGATATTTTAGGAAAGGCAATATATATTTAGGACAAATAACTAACTCAACTTACTTCCTTAGTCTCCTCAAATTAGTCAACTGGTTCTTATAATTAGGATGGGAGGTAATATTTTAATATTATGAATCAATTATAAATTTCATTTGCCCCTGTGAAATATATCATGCCTATTATATAGAGTGTGTCCATGTCTAATGACAATTATATATACGCACGCACACAAAGACATAATTAAAAAAGATATTGGACTCAAAATAGATGATTGAATCATATTCATGAACCCTTTCATTTGTAAAATTATAACAATTCCATTTACTTGTGCGAGAATCATTCTGATTCAACTGAGCTAATCACCTCTTAAGCCAAAAGAATTAGACCATTCCCTCGTAATTGAGCCTGATTTAATGGGTATAGGAGGATAACAAACCAAAATGCTCTAATTAAGCCCATGTGCACGCGAGGAAATCATGGTCAATAGTTTCTCCCTCCACGGTCCACAAAGTGGAACATTAGATTGACCATTTTTTAATTTAGGGGGTGTTTGGGTAATCTCAAAAGCACTTTTCCACAAATTGAGGTAAACTCCTCCACATATTTATTTCGTATACCGTAAAAGTACTTTTAAAATCATGGTTTTGTTTCTAACCAAACACCCCTTTAGACGATTATTAAGTGAAGGTTTATATATATATACTCTCCTGCAATCATATTATATGCTCAAGAGATTCTTGTCATCAATTACAAGGGGGGAAAATAATCAAATACTACATCCGGTCCTAATTATAAGAGCTAGTTGACTAATTTGAGGAGATTAAGAAAAGAAGTTAAATTAGTTATTTGTAATAAATAGGTGTTATCTGTCTTAAAATATCCTTGCTAATCAAGTGTATTGGCTAGAACTACTATTGTTAGGAGGACTATCTTGAAAAAAATGCATAAATATTAGAAACAAAGTGGATTGAGGTCTTATATTTAAAACCAAAATAAAAGTCAAACAAGATTTTTTTTAATTACCAAATTGTTTTTTTTTAAAAGTTTGTATTGACAACTAAAAGAGCAGTTGTTAACAATTTAATGTGTAAGGACTGACAACTATTGTAGTAAGTATTGACAACTTATGCATTATATTTTATGATATGTTGAGAAAATGTGTTGTCAATACCTGCTGTGATAATTCTCAATCCTTACACCTTAAGTTGTCAATGACTACTCTTTCAGTTGTCAATACAAATTTAAAAAAAAAAAGAACAATTTGGTAATTAAACTAATAAAATTTATTACAATGAAATTCTTTGGGACTTTAAAATAATTTGATAATTTCAAGGGACTTTTTTGTATTTAATTTCCTGGGACTTAATTGCAATATTTTCCCATAAAATTATAACAATTCCCTCTATAAGCACCATTGTGGAAGAATGGTTCTGATGTGACCACCTCTTGAGAATTAGATCATCTCGCATAACTGAGTCTGATTTAATGGATGGGAGAGTAGCAAACCAAAGTGCTCTAGCCCATGATCACGCGAGGAAAACATGGACAATAGTTTCTCCCACCACTCCACGAAGTCGAACATTTTTGCATTGATGATTTTTTATGTTTATTTTTTTTTTGCCGGCGTATTGACAAATTTTAGACGATTATTAGGTGAAGGTTTGTGTCCTGCAGTCATATTATATGCTCACGAAATTCTTGTGTCAAAATACTCTTTGAAAGAAATAACCTTTGTTCGTCAATTACAAAGGGCAAAAATAAAATAATCAAATATAGAATACCCCACAGGTTGACCTTGGGGTGGCCGGCGCGCGTGACATTACCGTTTGGGTTGACAAAAAGCAACAGAGAGAGTCCAAATAATTTGGATATACATACATTACTAATAATAATAACGTCAGCTCTGATCTTGCTCTTCGCTTTGGATACGAATTCTAGAAATTCTAATACCAGCCCAATTCATTGACCATCACGAACGTCAAAGTCAAACCTGATGGTTGAGTATTTCCCTAGTATATCCATAGCCGCCTCTGGATATATAATTACTCCTACGGTCCTAATTATAAAATCCAATTGACTTATTTGAGGAGATTAAGGAAGTAAGTTAAGTTGGTTATTTATAATAAATAAGTGTTGTTATTCCTAAAATATCCTTGCTAATTAAGTATATTGGCTAAAACTATCATTATTAGAAGGATTATCTTAAAAAAATGTATAAATATAAGAGAGAAAATGGATTGGGTCTTATAATTAGGACCAAATAAAAAGTCAAATTGGGTCTTATAATAAGGATCAGAGGAGTATTTATTTATATTCAATTCAAAGGTCCTTGCATTTACCACGTATTAATGTATATAAAACGACGTCGTTAAGTTATTTAAACGCGTGGCACTTTCCCGTATATTCTTTTCATATCTATAACTTCGTTATGAGCTGTTCTCCATTTTCACTTTATTTGCCTTCCACCAATTTCTGTGTGCTCCTTCTCTGACTATATATATACACTCATATGTTATCCAAGAGAGTATCATAATTCATACAGAATCAGGCAAGTTTGTTTTTTCTTCCTCGAGGGAATTAATTAACATGGAAGGTTTGATTCCATATCTTATTGATGTCATCAAGAAGCAACATCACAAGTCTCCCGCCACCACCAGAACCTATCGCCGTAGCTTCTCTCACTCCGACAGCTCTAACGACCGCAGCTACCACCTGCTCCTCGGATCATCCGATTCCTTTGGCGGGTCCTCCCACCGCAGGACCCGCTCCGACCTCCCGCCGTCCGTGGCTGCCACAGCCGCAGAGTTCTCAGAGTACCGGTATGGTAAGGATGGGTTTCTGGTCAGCCCCCGAGACCCTCCTTCTTTCCTTTCTGCTGCATCTCCCGCTGCAAAATCTGCAGCTTCCTCTCACGCGTCACAAGTTTCTCGTCGTAATTCCAACAACATTCGGAAGTACTGAGGATTTCATCGCATAATGTCCATGGAAACACATGCAAGTTTGACTTTTTTTTTTTTTTTTTTGGGTTTCTGGGGTTTTAATTTATTTTATATATGGGTTTGTCTTAATTTGTTTGTTTAGCATGGTCATTCATCATCTTCACTAATCACGATTGATTGGGTAACCATGTCATTAATTCATTTGTATTTTATAATTGTAATGAGAAGGTGTATATTTGACAATTTCTCTTTCCCTTTCTCTCCTCTTCTTCGTAACAAACGAGCAAAGCTGATTTACATAAGAATATAGCTTTAGTGTGCTTTATTAATTCACGTTATATAGCCACGTTATTGTTATTAGACACGTATATGTTTTTTTTTAATTATATTCGAATTAATTTTTTCCCCTTCGATGGATTTAAAAAAATGGATCTTTTTTGGAAAAAAATTAAATAGGCAATTATGGTCTTAATTATTTGATAGTCTTGAGAAATTGGTATTGAGCATCGAATTAAAATGAAATATAGGAAAAAAATTTCCCGGAAAATGTAAGATAATTGAATAAACATATTGTCAAATTCAAAGATGGCATGCACCGCCAAATATGAAATATAATATCACTTGTGCTTTGTTTCACATTTCCACACACGCACACACGCACACAATGATTTTTTTTTAATGCTAATATCATTTAAATGAAGATCACCATTCTTTTGGCCAGCAAAGATCACTACTACTATTTCATATAGAAAAAAGCAACAAGTAATGATTTACAACGTTGGGGGAATTTCATATAATTAAAAGCACATATAGATATATGCTTTGTTTTATACGAAGTTTCAGTGGCATATTTATCCTTATACGCATAATATGGAAGAACTGTTTCGTTTGCAGTGTTCTTTTCCTGGGAAATTTGAGAATTGAGGACTTATGGGGACTGGAAGATTTTGCGATTATATAGTGCTCTTCGCAGTTTACACCACTTAGCAAAAACATTATGCAATGATTGAATGCAAAAGACCTTAAACTGTCTAAATGCATAAAAAAGATATTTTCCAAATCAATCACAACTCAAATGTTCATATACACACACATATATAATATGCATATATCAAGGAATAAAAAATTAGATAGGAAGCTAAACCAGTTGAAATAGTAATTCAAAGATCAATGAGTCAGATCGGGATCAACTTGAGATTCAACTAGCCATATTAAAATAATATAATTTAATTGAAAATAACAAAATACAACAGTATTAATAATCACTACTAATAACATAATACAAGAAAATACAATAATAGTTTGATTATAAAAATAACAAAATACAAAAACATTGAGAATTTTTATCTTTATAATTTTTCAATAACTAAAATTAATAATCATTGACACAAAAATTATCATTAAAATTTAGTCAAATATAGTGTTACTAAGATATTAGGAGCTAAATGAACAAAAATAAAACCAATAACAATATGATCATCGAAGCCAGTTCATCATTAGTTTCCATCAGATTCTATTAGTTTGACTAGGTTGATGCCGGTTTGACTTCCTATCAATTTGACATTTACAGATTACTAGCTAGTTCATCAGTTAAATGGGCCAGTTCGATCTGTTTTTTCATGCCATGGTATATATACGTGTGTGTTATATGTAGACACGGCAATATGTTAATGAAGCTCCACCCCACTCCCCAATTTATGCATCTTTTTCTAATACATGATTTACTTGACTCAACCTTAGTTTCTATTTTATTAAAAACAGCAGTTTCTATTTTATTAAAAACAGCTCATACTGTCATTATTGGTACAAACGCGTGTGTAAGTTGTGCTTGGGCTAGTCCGTCATCAACTGATATTTAAATTTTTGTTAAGAGATATACCAACATTTAGTATTTTATAGTAATTTAAATAGAATTGTTTTTTATAAGAGGATACTGCAACTAGTAAAAAAATTTAGTTTATTTCATTATATATATGTGTATAATTTTTCACTTGAGGAAAAAAGTCAGTCGGATTCGGGTTCAAGCCGGGAGAATTTTCCATTGATTCGGGTTTTAACCGGTGTTACCCGCAAAGGCGTAACCATAAACTTGCCGAGGCGCCAACGAAGACGGATTTGGGCTCTCCCGCTCTTGGAACGGTGAAGAAGTCGAAGGATGCCTATGCGATCGGTGTTCGACGCCGGGGACATTAGAAGGGAGTTCGAAAACGCAGGGCTCGACGCGAAGTTTGTTCCGGTTATATGGAAGCATGTGGTTCAGAATCAGAAGCAAAACGGTGAGTGCGAGGAATTCGACTGGCAGAAGCAAGTTCCATCATTGCCCTCAGCAGCATACTCTTTGCTTCATTCCAAGTTCAAAAAGCCCCTCTCTTCCTCTGTTCACTCTGTGTTCCACTCTGCTGATAATCTCACCACCAAGCTCCTCATCAAGCTCCATGTACTACGCGATCCTCTCCCTCTATCCGGTCTCATGGACCGTTCTTCTTCTGTTTATTGCATCCAGCATTATGATTTCTCCGATCACTGTGCAATCGGGCTAAGTGGTTTTTATGCATCTAGCTCTGGGTGAATCAGGGTGTGTTCTCTTTGGGGGCAAAAGGTGTTACTTTAGGTACTCTGAATTGAATGGTGGTAGGTTGTTGAACTATAGTTTCTGGTGAAGGAAACTATCTGTTCAGAAAGATGTTAAGGGGGACTTGGAAACTGATTCCCTGCAGCCTGGTGTTTGTTATGTGAAAACTTCTAGTTTTCGGGGCATTAGAAACCTAACTGTTTGATGACTACGTATATGGAAAAAAATTGAATTAATGTTTTGTATATGTACAAAATAATATTTAAGCTTCTGTTTTCCCAATTATTACGTTTTCCATTCATAAATAAGTTCTCAAGTTCTTGGAAGATTAAAATATCTCCATATCCTTTCCCGCCTAAGTCTTCATGTCAAGTTTTCCTGTTTCTGTTTTGATACCGGCATGTTTATTATAAACTGGATGCTAATTGAGCTTGTAATTTTTTCCCTTTAATTCAGCATTATCTATATATTCTGCTAATTATTTCCTTGAATTACCTTGTTCTTTGAAGTTTTGAAGCATGTCGGTTAATTATCCTTGCTAATAATAATTTAGCATTGGTTCACGAACATAGGGATATCAGTCATTTTAATTTCATTTATAACTAACCGTGATTGGTATTTCTCTTTTTAGAATGGAGCTCTTGTGGAGACTGTGATAATGAGGTATGATACGCGTTTGGGGAAATATGGTGGTAAACCTCGTCCTGGTGGTCTAAGATCAACTCTGTGTATATCATCGCAGGTTTCCTCCCCCATCTCCACCCCCCCCCCCCAAATTGAATTGAGTGCTGATATGAAGCTGTTTCTTGCTGATTGAAGCATATTCCTTTTGATTTATGGTTGGTGCAATAAAAGCCAATGTCTCCTGTTTTCTACAGGTAGGTTGCAAAATGGGTTGCAAATTCTGTGCAACTGGAAGTATGGGATTCAAAAGTAATTTATCATCTGGAGAGATTGTGGAACAATTGGTTCATGCTTCTTGTTTATCAGAAATCCGTAATGTTGTCTTCATGGTAATTCTTTTTCCCCTACTATTGCTGATTTGAAGAGGTTCTACTTTTGTGTTTGTAACTGAAGCAAAATATTTAATTTCAATGTTCTTCTAGTATTCTGTCTTCCCTGCTCTACGAAAATATGATATCCTGTAATGACAAAATTGTAAGATTTGATTTTCCCCCTTGGAATCGTCAACTTGTTCGGCTCATGCTAAATAATAGATACTGATCTTATGTAACCACTTGTTATGACACACCTTTTAGCTAACTATTGTCAGACTTGAATTACTCCGGTTCCTTGGTCTATAATTGTCCAAAAATAGGTGAAAAAAAGAGAAGGATAAAAAAAGTTCCTGTGATCACGTGTCATGTCTGATTAGCACTTGTGAGTCTGTAATTGATGTTCATTAGGAATTATGAATAAACTAACAATTGTGTTGGAAGTTAAATTTTGACCATCATGTTTATTTGTTATTTTCCTGCTTCGTTTACCCAAATCTCAAGCTTACTCTCTTCTGCAGCATTATTATATATGCCTAATGCATACAAGCTTCACTGCATTGGCAGTTAATGTCTAGTTTGCAGTCTAATAATATATTATTTTACAGGGAATGGGAGAGCCTCTGAATAACTATTCTGCCTTGGTAGAATCTATTCGTGTCATGACTGGATTGCCATTTCAATTGTCACCAAAAAGGATAACTATCTCAACGGTATATATATGCTCTGTAGACTTCCATTGTTTCTCTTCTTTCTTTTCCGTCCCAGGCCCTGGATTTGTCATTGATAGAAACGAGATTAACAAAATTTTTATTTTCGTTCCATTATGTTGGTGCTATATTTCTTGGACTTTGGGTTGAATTGAACCCTGCTAGGTTTATTTCCTAACAATCACTTCTTAGCTAATGCTTTATGTACCTTTTAGTGAACCACGCCGATTGCATTTTCTTCAAATCTAATTGAACAACAAGTTACAATTTGTTGGGGCACTGTCCTTGCCGTTGACTTTTTGGCTGCATTTTAAGGAATATCATATTTTTTATATGGAACAAATACTAAATAGCTTATCTCGCATGGTTCTAACAAAAACTTTTACCAAAAATGTTAGATTGAAGAAAACAGCTTTTCCATTGAGTTACATGGATCACAAAAATTGATCCCTCTGCCTAAGGATATTATGAATGTATTTTTGATTGAGTTACAATGTTATTTATATTCAAGTCTCTTCTGCTGCATCTTCATTTTTTTTTCCTATAGTATTGTAAGCCGTTTTCTCATTCAACTACCCAAGGCGCTATTGAATTTTGTTTCATTAATACTTTTTAAATCGGTGTACAAATGATTTTCTTGACCAGAAACTCTTGAATGCGTGAAATATATAGCTGTAACATTTCCTTTTCTTTCCATCTGTAACAGGTCGGCATCATTCATGCTATTAACAAACTTCATAATGACCTGCCTGGTTTAAATTTGGCAATCTCACTCCATGCACCGCTCCAAGATATCCGTTGCCAGATAATGCCTGCAGCCCGTGCTTTCCCATTGGAAAAACTCATGGATGCATTGCGAGAATATCAAAGGAACAGGTGAGTATACGCTTTCATATTTGGACTCTTTGTTACCTCATATTCTCAAGGATTGTATATGTTTTCATTCATGAGTGCAAAATATGACAGTATTTCATTCTTAATTACAGTCAGCAAAAAATCTTAATTGAGTACATAATGCTTGATGGGGTGAATGATGAAGAGCAACATGCCCACCAACTGGGGAAGCTGGTTGAGACATTTCAAGTGGTAAAAACTCAAGACTGTACTTTGAACTATATGAGAAATGTCTGGATTTTGATTGTTTCGTTAACACCATTGGCATTTTTCACTAAATAAAGGATATACAACTAATTTGATAGTCCTCACGGTTTTGGGGAGTTGTTCTCCGCTGTTTGTATGAATAATTGCACCTGTTTCCCGTAGTTTTGTGATAAGGTCTTGCGCATTTGCTGCACGTCTTATTGATACCTAGTTTAATATCTCCGAACACTATTTACTAAAGCCTTTTTTCCCCCAGTACATGCTTTCCTTCCTAGATACGTGATGCATTATTCTCGAACATTTTTCCTCATGACCTTGGTCCTTTTGAGGCAGGTAGTTAACTTAATTCCTTTCAATCCTATCGGCACCCTGAGTCAGTTCAGAACTAGTAATGAGGAGAAAGTATCAAGGTTTCAGAAAATTCTTAGGGGCAACTATGGTATTCGAACAACAGTCCGAAAGCAGATGGGTCAGGACATCAGTGGTGCTTGTGGGCAGCTGGTGGTTAATCAACCGGACAAGAAGTCTCTTGGAAATGCAGGTGTCCTAACTGACATAGAAGATCTTGTTATTTGATGACAATTTGGTCCTCCAATTGGTAATCCCCAAAAACAGTGAGTGTACAAGGTTGTTCTCGAAAATATAAAGTTGTCATCAGTTAGTTTATCGAGTGCTGCAACCAACTTGTTATTTTTGGAGCACTAACGATTGGTTTTTTTTGGGATTAACACTAAATAGGCCTTATGATATGTTACAGAAGAAAATTAGAAGTTGGTTAGGGTAGTTATAGGAGAATGATTCTGTGACTAAATTGTTGGTTTATTCTTAATGTAGCTTTGTTTTTGTTGATGGCTGAATTTTTAATTGATATCTCTGGTTTGGTTATTGTTATCAAGTTTAAACCTGTAGAAGAGAGTAAATCACATACAGTGAGGCCTTAGGAGAAACAATAGTATTGGACGAAGGTGCAATGGGGATGTTTGATCAAAGACGGTCATTGGTTCTTGAAATTTTCTGGACTAATGCAACATACGCCGCTTCAAATCACAAATGGGCACAAACATGAAAATGGCTTCGGCATTTGAAAATTAAGCACGCTGGACGACCTAATTTTTGTTCGTCTCCGATGAAGCCTTTCAGTACGATTGTGGGATTAGCGTTGTTCATTTACGACAGATCAAGGACGGTCATTCTATTTGCAAATGATGGAGCATATTAATTCTTTTACCCGACTAATTCCTAACAAGTTTCATCTGAGGACCTAACGTTGCACTACTTTGAAATGTGGTTGACGTAACGGTAAAAGTGAGAAACGGTGCTCCGTTCTCATCTCATGGAGTAGTACACAATCAATAGCAAAGGGATGGATTGGTTTTGCATTCTTGTAGCTTTTACCTATCCCTCCGTTATTCTCACCAAGCACTTAAGCAGTGTGGCTATGCAGGCTTACATTAATTGGACTCGAGCAACATTGCAATTTTCTTCTCCTCACTCGAGTCACTGGGCTAAAGAATCCAATCAACCTCAAGAAACGAGAAGTCCCGGCACTTAACAATGTGGTTAATTTTGCTGTCTTTTATAGCTTGATATATAATGAACAGAATCACCAGTTCAAATCAAGTGCTACACATGTCATGACAACCACGCAGGTATAAATCTACGGAAAAGAAAGCCTGAACCCATTACATAAAAGTGGCGCATCCATGGAATCTGTCCTGAACACGCCAAAAGTTGAAGTGCTGATAACTGAAGCATAGGTTAAAAAACACGAGAAACGTTGCCTGCAATCTGATCCTATGAAGCCAAGAGTGCTTCCAGCTTTGCAATTTGGTCATCCTCATTTTTTGGAATAGGATCCTTGTCAATCTCTTGATACAAATCATGCTTCCACTTCTCAATTCGAGGCTTGCTAGGATGATAACCTTGTCCTACACTGAATCTATCCCTTCCCCTGTAATTGCCGCTGCCACCACGGTACCTCCCTCTCAATGAGAAGTCATCCCTCCTAGCTTCAACCTTGTTGGATGCACTTTCTATTGTATATTGCTTCTCAGTTCTATCAAAATGGCGCAGGTTGCTGCTTCTGTCATCCCTCCTTTCATTCCTTTCTGGAGAGTAACATGTTTGGCTTGACTTTACAGCCTCAGTTGCAGCTGGATTGGCGTCTCCTAGATCTGCTGGAACCTTCTTCTCCCTGAATGCAGGTCTTTTCTTAGTAGTTGGAAGAGGATCATCTTTCCTTTCAGAGGGGCCATCTTTTCTGTGTAAAGTGTTGTCATCTGGTTTAGCTCCTAATTTTTCATGTCTTTGATCTCTACTTCGTCCATGAGCTTTCTCTGCCCTTTCATTATGGTGATCTCTTGAGTCCTTCCACCATCCATGCTCTTGTATGGAAAAATACACACAGTATTAATTGTCACAGACAAGAAGGTCACTTTTTTATGGCCAAAATTAAGAAGGTAACTTATATTACAAACTTGGTAGAAAGAACGGAAAAAGTGGAATTAAGATGAAACCAGATCTCAACTTCTGTAAATCGAAAGGGAGATACTGTAATCTAGCTCTCGGAACCTTAATTTGTTTTCTAACCACGTTTTATACCACAGTAACTAACGCATATTACAACTGAAAAGCCACAAGGTCATCACAGAACCATGAGTCTGAGAAACCACTAAGGAATTATCCCAAGAGAAGATTCAATAATAAGGTTTTGCTGACAAAATTTGTCATTCCAATATTATGCATGAACATTAACAGGAAAATAATATCATAGCATTTAATTAATAATAGCTTAACTAATCTGAAGCATGTACTAAAAACTATCACATCATAGACTCCAGAGGTATATGTTTGCTATGCAGGAAGGGAAAAAAGATGCAGAATTTTTAGCCACCCCAATTCATATTATACATTGCATGCATGACATTTCGGACAGAGGGAAAAGAAATCAGAAACAAGGTGGGAGTCAAAGTGAACACATCGTTTTCATCCAAAATAAAATATAATCTATTCCAATAAGCATGCTGGTGGGCACTCAAATTCTAGCATGGAGTGTTAGAATTTAAAATTGCATAGTTAAATCTTACTGCAGGCAGGAAGAAATAAGATGATTGTGCAAGTAGAGCCAATTTTACAATGACACACATTTTAACTCGTGACATGACAAACAAGGTAACAATAAAAAAAGATACAAGGAAACTCACCACCAGTCGCTCTTCGACCAACCTGCCTGGCACTACCTCGCTCATCGTGCTGTTATAAATATGCAGAGGCAAGCCTAAGATGGTTATATATGGAAGTACTTGAAGGCAAGGAACTGAACAAGAATGCCGATACTTGGCCCCAGAAAAATAGTTTGCATGCACTGAATAATAATCAAGCAATTAAGAAAAATACATACAAATGCACATAGATACAATCGTTAATTATCAGCCATTAGATAGACAACCTGATTGTGTGCAATGCAAGGAAATATAATACCTAGACAATAAAGTAAACTACTTCTTGGGAAAAGATAAAAGGTGTTACATAATAGCTTCACTAGTGATCATAGCCTCACATGTTTCCCTCGTCTTCAAGGACATGGAAGACCATGGATCTTAAAGCTAAGAAGGCAACTGCTATCCTTTTTTTTTTTTTTTTTTTTTTTTTTTTCAATTTTTAGATTTTTGGGTTGCTCACTAATATGAAGCAATATGCAGAATCTAAGGCTTCGTTTGGTTACCTTGAAAGAAATGGAAAAGGATTCCATTTCAAGAAGTTCAAAACATGCATCATATATTACGTCTCTATTATCATTACTCAACAATAACTGTACAAGTTTTTATTCTCTTTTATTCAGGGTTACGAAGACATTTCTCATCTAAAAGTGAGTTTCTTTATTCCATTCCATTATGTATACCAATTGGGCCTACAATGACTGCGGCCAGAAGCTAGTTCATATTTCATAGGTCTACAAGCACTCCTGATGCAACCAATTGTCCAATTCTAAGACACATGTAAAGAAGCAGAAAGTTGCAAAAGCATCTAGCAAAGAGAAGAGTTTCAAGGGATAGAAATAGTCAAAAACAATTCTTCTGCATAAAACTCCTACAACACCTGAACATAAGAGCGAGATCTTGGTAAATCAGTAGGATCAGATAAACGTTTGGACCCTTCATTATGTTCATTTGGTTTCTTGTCTGAATCCTTTTTCTCAGCCTCACTTTCTTTCTTAGAATCATGAGCTAAAGAGGCCTCATGGGGTACCACATCATGCAGCCGGCGGCGTTTGTGATCCTTGCCATGGTGATCTACATTGTCTACATCAGCACCGCTGGTTACTCTGCTTCTTTCTCTTTCTTGTAATCCATCTCTTCTAAACCTCTTCGGACTAGAAGCAGCTCCAACCAAATAAGTTACATGACCATAGGATCAAAAATTAAACATAGAAATCTACCAAATGTATTCAAACAAAACTGCACCCCGTAACACCTTCGACAGTTCAGATTCATGTTAAGAGTAAAAAAGATCCAAATGCGTTTTAGAATAAACAAGCCATTACAAAATTGAAAATGTTTTTTTTTTTTCCTTGGCTTAAGCTAGTAATATAGGGTGCCACAAGGAACCACATGTCGTAGCAAGCCAATGAAAAGAAATTTCCTTCTAGATATTCACCATCGTTACGGATAGAATCAATTCCATGGCAATCAAGGCGTCTCAACTAGAAAAGAGTAAAACACTGTAACTTGAAATCGCCACATTGGAACCGCACACGAATGGTTCGCTAGCAGGAATAAATTCCCGAGCTCGAAATCCAAGTATTAGTCAATGGTTCAATGGACAAATTGATATATCCTTCAAATCATCGAAAAACAGCCATAATATGGGGAAAAACTTAATATACGAAAACGGGGGTGTCGTATTCCTCCGAATTTCACATATTATTTCGGAAGGAACAAAAAAATACAAAAACAAATTTTGGCGGGGAGCAGGCGCGAAATCGACCAAGCTCAGATGGAACTGTTAGACGGAAAAGGCAAGCAACAAGCACCTTGGTTCTCGGTCAAATCTAGAACTGCGTCGGGCAGAATCGCGACCCTCTCGACGAGACATTGGCTTCCGCTGCATCCACAGCTAAAACAGACGAGACTGAAGCTTGGGCTTTTTTCTCCTCCTCCTCTCATTATATAATCCATATTTGATAATTATTTTTTTTGAAAAATTTTGTCAAAATCCCAACTGTAATTAAATTGATATTTTGGGATCTAACTGTCATTCTCGCATAAACAAATATAGTTATTTTATTATATATGATCATGATTATTGATTTATTTTTGTATTGTTCTAAAGAAAATAATTATCTGTATATTACTAAATTTTTTATAAAATAGTAATGTACCAAACGGGCCCCAAAAAATTATGAGAAAATCTCACCCAAAAAAAAAAACTTAAAATTATTAAAGCTTAGAAGATGTTTGAGTCCAATACTTTAATAGATTTTAACAACAATAGAGTTATAAATAACAATACATTTTTTTATGAATTTCTCATTTAGGACTTAATAATTTTAAGCTTTTGTTTTTTGGATTCTCCCAAATTAATTTTATTTAACCAGTTTTAACTAATTTCTTTTCACATTTAACCTTTTTGTGCCAGCTACTTTAACTAATTTTTTTTTAAAATTCTTCAGTGTATGCAAAGCATTTAGCATATCTTTTTTTTTTGGGGGGGGAGATGGGTAATGATACTAATGAAAGCATTTACCGTATCTGGGAGAATAATAATATTTTTATTTTTTGCCAACGAATAATAATATTTTTATTACATCTTAAAATTTAGAAACTAATAGTAATAAGATGGATGGGGCCGACGGCCGAACCAAATTAATTGCGCGATTGGTGTAATTCCCAACTCAATTCGTTGGCGAAAGGAAAATTCCAACTCAATTCATTTATTTACGAGACTCTTGCCCCTGCAATAAATTGACTGGGATTGACATTTGAATTAATATAGGCAAAGCTAATAATAGGATGCGGTTTCCCTGAGAATTGCAATACAGTCCGTGCAAAATAAATACTACCTCCGCTTCATCCTAGTTATAAAGTTTTAATCCACTTTTCACTCATATTTATATATATTTTTTTAAATAGTCCTTCTAATAATAATAATTCTACCTAATACATTTAATTAGTAAGGATATTTTGAAAAAAAAAACAATACCTATTTATTACAAATAACTAACTTAACTTATTTTTTAATTGCTTAAGCAGTTCTTTCTGCTTCTTTTTTTTTTTTTAATGTTTTAGCACTAGTAATCACATTATTTAAAATCACTTATAAACATATTTTACGTAAATCGAAATAAAACTATTTTTATCTATTTAACTCATATTTCGTAAATTATAATTAAAAAACTACTCATAAGTTATTTCAAACAAATTTAAGCTTGTCTATGCATGGTTGCGCAATAACCACACCTCGCCCAGAATGCTTCACTCAAATAAATCGGCAAAGCTTCAAAATCTTCTCAACACAATTTTTTCGTGCAGCACAATTACGGATACATACAAGGTGGACTGTGTATTATGTCAATAATTTCTTGGAAAAAAAGAGAATGAAAATATTACTTGCATTATAAGGAACGACAATCATATGGATTACACTTTTTCACTTCACCTACATTGCTGCGCACGAAATGAAAGGAACATTTCTTAAATGTGTCTCATTTCACCTAGTCTCTCGGGCTAATCTTCAATGAAACATGAATAATTTCAAACAGAGAAAAATAACGAAATTAACAAACTACTGAACTAGCCTGTTAACTACATGAAAAAAAAAAAAACCATCATAAATAAGAAAATAAATAAAAACATAGGGTAATATGATGGGGAGTTGCTCTACAAACCTTATTTTATACAAGAGGATGTAATTAATCTAAGTATACATATATAAAAATGTAAAAAGACACGCTATTCATAATTCTCTTAATTAATTTGGTGTCTAAACCAAAAATAAACTAAACTTTGCATGCACAGTGAGACAGAAGGGATAAGAATCATCAGGTCTTAGGTGTGAATCTGGAGCACCATTTAATCATAAGGTCTTCAATATTGGCATCCATGCGGGTGCCTATTCCTCCCCACATTAACATGTGCCCTAAGTCCCCAACTGATGATCCACTCACTTCATGCACGGCCTTGAATCCGATTCTGCTGTAGAACCTAACCAGCTGAAACCATTTCTAATTAAAACAACCATCATACTACACAATTTTCTTATCCATCATCAAAGCCTACTGTATAAATTAATGTCTCATACTTGGTGCGTGTTTGGTTCTCTGTTGGAAACTACATGATTTTGATGGAAGTAAGTTGGTGTGTTTCAACAGATGGAAAGATTACAAAATCCTCAAACATATTCATCAAATAAGCAAAAGAGCGACGATATGGAAGAGATAAGGGAGGGTGAGAAGAGAACCTTGGAATGGTAAAGATCAGAATCATTAATGGCGAGCAACTCAGCTTTTTTGCAGCCGCAATCATAGCCATATCGAATGGCCAAAGCTCCGATGAACAATCCTATCCCGAAGATGGATTTCTCCATCCCGATCGTTTCTCGTTGGAGCTTCATGGAGTCCAAGTGAAGAATTCTGCCTCCTAGCCACACCCTAATTATCCCCTCAGCCCTTCCCACCTCGTTCTGGCTCTCCAAGCTCTTGGCCGTGATTCTGAAAAAGGGCCCCACCGTTCGGAGCTGAAGGTCCAGCTTCTGGGCTCTGGAAGCTTCGAGAATGTCAGACATGGACGGCAAAGTTGAATTGTCTCTGAGCTTGACATTTGAAGAAGGCGGGTGCGAGAGGCGGGTGCTTGCGGCGATTCTGAGTTGCAACCGGCGATTTTGAAAATGGAATTTGCAAGGAGGAATTAAGGAGGGTACGGACATGTTTATGAACTCAACATGTTTCGAAGTTTTGGACCTGTTTATATTTCCTCACACTTGGATAGAGGCCAGCCACGTCACCACAATTAAAAATAATAATAATTTAAAGACAAAAGATAAAATTCGCAGCTTTTTTTTTTTTACCTCCTCAAATTCTCGCCTAATTTTAATTAGCAGAAAATAACTGTGTCACAAACATCATGTTTGTTTGAATATAGAATTGTGAATCAATTACCCGTCCAGTTTTAAGAAATTTTGATCCTTTTACCTGATGATCTTTCTCCGTCATGAAGTTCGAGGGGCTGATGTTGAGTCATCGACCAAGCGTAAAACATTCAAACGAAATTCCAAACAAATAATTTGAATGGTTTAATTTTATTTTAACGATTGATATTTCTATTCTTTTATTTAGAAAACAAAACAACTTCCACAAAAATATAAATCATAATTGGATTGCGCTTAAATAAGAAATATACAAAATGGATTCCTACAATGAAGCATATGTGGTGGGCCTCAGCAAGAACAAAATTAAGCAAAGACAAAACCCACTCAAACAATGCCGGGAAAGGGAATTTTATTTCTTATCAGGGTTCAGCCTATTATGCAGATTATAAATAGAATATTATACACATTTCATTACAAGGAAGAATACACATGATACAAATATCCACCCCTGTAGAGTTATGCTGTACAGAAGTATATAGATATAAAGAATAATGTAGTATAATTTACAGGCTTTGACCGTTTTTAACAAAAAAATAATCAATCGGCACGTATCTACCTTCTTTCCGAGACAACTTCTGTTTCTTGGATTTACTCTGTGTTGTGATATTTTTTCCCTTCCGAATCTGACTGAAAGGACATGATTACCAGCATTAACTTGTACGTTCAGGGAACAAATGAAATGGGCACAGAATTGTTCATCTCAACTGCCTACGTGCTGTTATAGAAGCTTATAAAATGCTTTAACAGGGGCAAAATAATATATACCTTTGACTCAACGTAGCGGTCCTTGGTTGAATGCCAGATTCTTCCTTTTGTAGCTTTTCAGCAAGATGAAAATCAGAGTGCTCTTGTCTTTCCTCAACAAAACTTGGAGGCAGTTCTATTCCACAGATTGAACATCTGTAGTCATTGAACCACAATAATGTCTCGTCCTGGCAAGAATTAAGTTGCTCATCCTCCGAAAGATTAGGCATGCAAGTTACATTGTCAAGGCTGCTACTCCCAGACTGGTCTCCAAGAGAGCAAAGATCAGATCCCAGCACTTTCGAAACTTCATTGTAGTCAGAACTTGAAGCATCATCGACCGGTGTTTCCACCTAAACAAAAAGCCAGAGTATGAGTACCAGTGGAGCACAAAGAGAGGTATCACCTACAAGTAGTCAAATCAATCAAGCAACATTTTCCCGAAATTAAACATCCACATTATGTAGCCAAATAAAATGTGTGTGTGTGTGTGTGTGACATTACTTGTCTGCATCATTATTTTTCCTCATGATGCAACTGTGGTTATCCTCTTATAATGAATGACTACCATCAAAATATCTGCATTCATGAATACAGGTCGGCCCCTGTCAATGTAAATACCGGCTTCTGCATCACTTTTTTTTTTTTTTTTTAAATATTGGTTTCTGTATCACTTACAGGGTCATTGTCCGTAACATCTGGAAGCAATAAACTGCAACTCTTCTTAGGATCCCTGGAAGCAATGAAATTAGTTATGGGCTTCTGTGTAGGGTCAGATGGAGAACCACACTTGTCTTCACTGAAATGAGACACCCGCAGGCCTGACAGAAAAAAGCCTTGGTCAAGCTCAAAACACACCTGAATTTTCTCATGGTATAAACTGCAAGAATCCCTTTTCTTTTGGCCTTAGGACCATCTTAACATAAAACCCACCTATCAATCTTAAGGAAATAGGAAGTTCAGCTTTTAGCAGCTTTACAGCATGTTTCAGGATATCATCCCTCGAGCTGATGTACTTTTGTAAAGTCACAGCCCTAGTCCGAACCTGTAGATTGTGCAGTTATTATTAGCACTGAATCATATTGTGCACTATGACAGTGACACCTATCACAAAAGGTAAAAATGCTTAGGCACATGTAATATATTATGTTGCTAATAGAATAAGCAATTGAGAATGCAGTTTACCGAAGTGGGTTTGTCAATACTTTAATGAGCGTTTATTGGCTCATCGTGTAGTCATCGAGTCATGTGATACATCATATTCATATATGCTTAAGTATTTCTCAATAAGAAAGCTTCAAAACCTCATATTATGAAAAAGAAAACAAGTGAAAAGTATCCTCAGGGTTACGAACATAGCTCTTCAAAAAGTGACTAAGGGTTTCACCAATGGAATTGCAAAACCAAGCAAAACAAAATGCTCCTTAGGAATATACATTAGTTAAAACAGAATTTAAACGTCAAGCGTACCTCAAACGATGCAGTTTTCAGTTTAAGAGTCAACGTTCGCCCACATAGGCCCTCTTTTTGCATGTCCACAGACAGCATTTCGGAAAGTTCCTCTGCAAGCATGAAGTCTCGTGACCCACATGTTGAAATAATACAGTTGACTAAATTACTGTCTAATTCAAACACTCTTCAAATCATAGACAAGCACCACAACCCCCCCCCCCCCCAAAAAAAAGGAAGAAAGAAAATAGCTGAAATTAGTGATTCTCAGAATTCCAAGTAAAAAACCAGAACAAATAATGAGTTTAAATTAAGCAATATAGAAAAGTTTTGAAGATACTATGAACAGCAAAAAGACAAGACTAATACCTAATTTTCTAAACAACTGTGCTTCATCTTCAGTGGCTGAAAATGTTCTTTCATTACTGATGCTCTTCCGCAACCTTGCTTGGGGGGTACTTGTTGCCCCTATTCCTAAACCCACAGATAGGAAAAAGTCTGCAGACAATTGTCAGATGGTGTCACATTAACAAAGAGTGATCAAAAGCAGAATTTGAAACGAAACATTTGGTGAAACATATAAATCACTGTTGCCAAAATAAAGGGTAAATTTTGAGAAGATGTAGAAACCAGAAGATTGAATTACGGACATGACAGGCTTACACCTTATAAAGAACAAGGAATGAAATGTTCTAAATCATGTTTATAACTTTTATCTAGGGACAGCCTTAAAGAACCTAATAGAAAACTCAGTTGAACGGCCACATAAATATAGGAAGCAATATAGAAGGGAACTAGAACCAATAAAAAGTAACCAAGAACGCCCAATAATTTTACTCAAATTCAAAAGCGATAGGTTGAGGTCTTAACATAAATAATATGCTTTTATATAGGCAACTCAAACAACTTAAGTTCCACTATATCAAACAACCTAAGGTTTACAGTAAAAATTAAAGAATTCCTAACTTTGAACAGAACCAATTCTACTAAAGATGACATATCTAAATACCCTGACAACTAGACCTGAAATTCCCAAAATTATATTAAATACTAAACTCCAAATTTCAACTTGCAATTATATCATCATACATTAATATCCATCCACACTGCACCAAAACTGTCCAGCAGACGAATGAAATAGATAACAAGGGCACCAGCCCGCTAGGTTTTGCATGATAATCATGACAACAGCAAGAGTTGAACATACTGCTAACCTGAAGTTGACTGAGAGAAAAGGGCACAGATGTAGCCACCCTTCTGCAGCAGCTGCTCACATGTGCTAATTCCCAAAACACCCCTCAAAATATTTTCGGTAACTTTACCAATGCCCCCAATCTGTTCAAAGTGTTAAGCATTGTGATTGTTAATTGAAAAAAATACATCTTTGCCAAAGATATCAGATGTATATAAAACTACAGTGCCACAACTAGGTACAGACCTAATCATTTTGTCTCAGTCAACTAGAATCATGGGCGAAATAAAAAATAAACACACCTTACGGATAGGAAGAGAGGATATAAATGTTACAACAGCCATTCGGTCATTTGGTAAAACAAACTGCCCATTTGGCTTGTTTATATCTGAGCAAACCTAAACAGTAAGACAAACGAAAGTAAGATTCCAATTTCAAGTGGGTATTGCGTGATCAAATGATCACTATATGCCATTTACTTGCTAATCTTTACAGAATAAGGAGACCTAATAAAATTATTAGTGATGCATCTAGTTCTAAAAGATTAAACATACAAGCCTTCATGTTAGGAGTAATAAAATTAATTTGGAGCAATATAACGGTTTAATCCCTAAAACATTTCTCTCCACTCAATGTGAAAAAGAGACAGCAGAACCTTTGCAAGTAAGCGGTTTGGTGCCACTCCAGCACTACAAGTGAGACCAGTTTCTTCATAAACACAGGCTCTGAGTTCTTTGGCAATCTATGAAAAAAAAATAAAAGAAAACAGGAGGGTTACTACATTTGTAAAGGCCAGTTAATGCAGCAAATAAATCAGAGATACCAACTTCTTTACTTGTGACACTCCTTTCTTTGCAAACTTCAGTTACATCAAGATATGCTTCATCCAGACTGGTAGCCGTGAAATTAGGATCATATCTCTGGAATACTAACAATAACAAACAAAATTATTAAGCAATCATCAATAATCTCTTTAACGCAAAAGCAGCACAACAGAAAAGATCCTGGAAATAAAAGAATTACCTTTTCTGGCCAAATCACTGTAATATGTATACTTTTTGAAATCTGTTGGAACAAAAATTAGCTCTGGACACAATTTTCGCGCAATAAATCCAGGCATTGCAGCACGAACACCAAATTTCCGGGCCTATGTAGGATATCAAAACATATTTAGACAAATAAAGTTGAAGAAGGTCGGTGTTTCATATATCAGATAATGTCAAAATCTAGAAACAACAAGCTCATAATGTGCTGACATAAATGAAACCTCATAGTTGGCTGTGGATATCATAGAAATGCTACCAACAGCCATTGGTTTTCCCTTTAATGTAGGGTTACTTAAAGTCTCAACCGCTGCATAGAAAGCATCCATATCTACATGTAACCAACACCTTGACAGGTCACGTGTAGCTTCTAGCTCAAGCATTCTTTTCTCTGCCACCTGTCCATGGATAAAGTAAGATAATAAACCAAGGCAATAGTTTCAGCAACCTGTCCAACTTGAAGTAGAGCAGTAATTGATATTAACAACTAATAAGTTAAGCTTGTGTCTAGAGCATAATAAAATCCACAAGGTACAGCTACAAAAGAGATTAGTTGCATGTAAACTGCAAGAAAAGAATAAACATTCACTCATCTCACTATTGAAATCATAACAACACGAAACGATTTAATCGGTAAACAGCTACACCTATACACAACGTTTAGAAGCAAATGTTAATGATACCTTCTGATAATTAGATATGTCAGCTTCTGTAAGCTTCGCGCACTGAGCCTGTAGGTTCTCTATTTTCTGCCTGATAAAAGCCTCCTTGCGCTCTTCATTCTCAAAATATTTTGAACCTTTGCTCATTTCATAAACTATCCTTTGTACTTTCTCCTTGTCAACTCCTTCCATTCCTTAATATCCACAGGTACTACTTGTAAGAGAATGTACAATTAAAACGGGAATAGCAACAGACAATTCATATTCTGTAACAAATATGAACTCAACCCAGTTTTGATCGCAACGTACACCACGCGAAGTAAGTCACTAGAAAACGAAAGGACACCTAAAAACGTATAACTCATCTTCGTCTCAGACAGACGGAAATCAAATTAGTTACACGTAAATCGTGCATGGGATCAAAATATTGTAATCGAATTTCAGTTAGTTATTATAATTTGACCACAAGATATCATTTTTTGATGAAAACTAAGGCGGCGCTTTGAGGAAGGCCGGGATGACCTTACATCAGCCTCCCTTTCGTGTTTCTGTGGAGCAGGAAAAGAGAAACGAACTGTTCTTTTTCGCTCCTTCCTTTCCTTTTCTTTTTCCCCTTGAAATGCCTATGCGCCTGCAAGCTGGTTCGCAGAAGGCCCTCGTATACCCATAATTCAACCGTACTTCAATTTTCGCTTCTCATATATAGAATAGGCTTCATAAACTTAAACGTGTGAAGATAACAAGTGAGCATAATTTCTAAAATCAAACACCGGAAAAAAAAAACAGAGAGAGAGAGAGAGAGGAAGGGCGCATGAACCTGCTTTGGCATTAGTGTAAACGGTGTGGTAGGATTGCCACGGCTGAGCAGTGTCTCCGGACGTCTCGCTTCCCTCCATCGCCCTCTGCTTACAAACGCTTACTGCTCAAGGCGAAGAAAAAGCCTGCGGGTGAGAGAGAATGGGGAACGAGAGTTGAGCGCCAAAGTGTGCGAAAGAAGTTTGCCATTTTTCTTTTTTTTTTTTGGGTGGGAAAGAAGCAAGTAGCAATTGCATTTGCATAGTTATGACATCGCTAATGCAATCACTAGGATTAGGTCTAACAGAAGGAGCTAGCCTCCCATAATGTAGTAGACTAAAGTTTGAATTTTTGCTAGAAGAGGTGTTCACATTTAATGTCTGATAATGTCTCGAATAGGATTGTCTCCAATAGGAAGATATCTATGTTTTAGTTAAAAAAAAAAAAAAAGACATCGCTAATGCTAAGCCTTGGGCTTCCAGCCTAAACTGTCTTGGACTTGAAAGTCCATTTTGCCTCCATCGTAGCCCAACCAAGGTCCGCTTCTGGTCTGACTATTGGGTGGGTGACTTGGGTCCACTTAAGAATCTAACGACCGCTCCTGTCGAGGAGGGTGAACTTCAGAAGACAGTGAGAGCTTTTGTAACAGAGAGTGGTGACTGGAACTGGAATCTTTTTGACAAAATATTACCAGAGGAATCCTTAGTGCAAATAGCTGGAATTGAGCCGCCGTCTGACAGTAGAGATACTGACAAGAGCATATGGCATTTAACAGGCCATGGGAGATTTACGGTCCAATCCGCGTATAGACTTCTTGCTGAACAAGATTGGAACGAAAAGGACTCACGCTGGAGATTAGCTTGGAAATGGCCCGGGGCGCAACGTGTAAGAACTTTCCTTTGGCTTGCCTTGAACAACAGATTACTCACTAACGAAGAGCGGCTTCGGCGCCATATGACCCTTAATCCAGCTTGTGAAGTCTGCAAAAATGAAATAGAAGATCTAGACCACGTTTTAAGACGGTGCCCGCTAGCCCAAGATAGTTGGAAGCTTATAGTTCCCCCTCAGTTCCACCCCCAATTCTTTGGAGAGCCTTTTAACCACTGGATGGAAGGCCACCTAAAACCCGTCAACTCAGACTCGAATTGGTGCATCACGTTTGGGCTGCTTTGTTGGAAGCTCTGGGAAGCAAGAAACAGAAGATTGTTTTGTGAGGAAGATAAGCCAGCACATAGGCTAGTCAATGAAGTTCTTTCGTTGAGCGATCACACAGCCAAGACCAATGTACGACTTAAGACTCTAGTCACCTTGTGAAGTTTTAGACTTTTTTGCTGTTGTTGTTTTCTTGTTTTTCCTGTTTTTCTTGCTTTTTAAGTTGTATCCTTGAGTGTTTTGTTCAATAATATCTTCTCGTTGCACTCAAAAAAAAAAAACATTGCTTTGCGAGAGTCAGAGATGCGATCCCCCTGCGGTTTCCTTTTTGTTTTTGGGGAAATCACAAATAAAGACCCTTGAATTAGCAAAATCACTCTATGGTCACCTAAATATGCCAAATTACCATGAGGGACCCGGTCTCTCAAATTGTAATTATGAAATCATGGCCAAATTACCAAAATACCCCTCTTTAATTTTTTTTTTTAAAAGAAAGCCACTGCCTCACCGGAATCCGGCCACCGGCGCCGGAGCTCCGGCGGCCTTCCTTTGTTTTTTTTTTTTTTTGCAACTGTTTTTTTTAAATGGCGGGGGAAGTGAGGTTGGGGGGATTTGATCCCCCAACCTAATGCTTCCCAAAATAAGGAATGACCATTGAGCCAACAAATTTTTGTTAACATTATGATGCAAACAAAAAAAATAAGTTAACTCATTTACTCTTGTTCCAGGTGATAACAACAATACATTTGGAAATAACAAGTTCTGATTGTAAAATAACACGTCTAGAATAAAAATTTAACAATATGTTTTTTTATAACAATAAATTTTGTTGCAGGTAATAACAACAATACATTTAAAAATAACAAGTTCTGATTATAAAATAACAAGTTTGGGATTAAAATTTAACAACACGTTTTTTTTTATAACAATACACTTTGTTTCAAGTGATAACAACAATACATTTAAAAATAACAAGTTCTGATTATAAGATAATAAGTCTGGGATTAAAATTTAACAACACGTTTTTTTATAACAATTAATTATTTTATACTTTTAAAAAATAAATTATTTATAACTTATAAAAAATATTTTTAATATATTTATTTCTCTAAAAAATACTTTTTAATCTGTATATCTATACAACTCATTATAAATCAAACTACTTCTTATAAATTATAAAGTATTTATAATAAGGCATTTTTAATCTATTAATCATAGTATAAATTTTATATTATTTCATTCTTTAAATATTAAAAATAGTTTTTATATTTAAAGAATAAAATAGTATTTTTAATTATAAATTAGAGATAAATTTTATTTATAAATTTAAGTAGTCAAAAAGTATTTTTAATCCACAATAAATTGTACTATTTATAATTTATAAGAAGTAGTTTGATTTATAATAAGTTGTATAGATATATAGATTAAAATTTTTTTAAAAAAATTAAAAAAGTGTGTTGCCATTTTCCCTAAATTTTATTTATAAATTTGAACAATAAAAAAGTATTTTTAATCTATAAAAAATTATACTTCAAGTTCTGATTATAAATTGGAGATAAAAATTATTTTTTTAGCAAATTAAATAGATTACAAGTACTTTTTATAAGTTATAAATAATTTATTTTCCAAAAGTATAAAATAATTAATTGTTATAAAAAAGAAGGTGCTGTTGAATTTTAATTCCAGACTTGTTATTTTATAATCAAAACTTGTTATTTCCTAATGTATTGTTGTTATCACCTGAAACAAAGTGTGTTGTTATAAAAAAAACATGTTGTTAAATTTTAATCCCAGACTTATTATCTTATAATCAGAACTTGTTATTTTTAAATGTATTGTTGTTATCACTTGAAACAAAGTGTGTTGTTATAAAAAAAAATGTGTTGTTAAATTTTAATCCCAAACTTGTTATTTTATAATCAGAACTTGTTATTTTTAAATGTATTGTTGTTATTGCCTGCAACAAAATTTATTGTTATAAAAAAAACATATTGTTAAATTTTTATTCCAGACGTGTTATTTTACAATCAGAACTTGCTATTTCCAAATGTATTGTTGTTATCACCTGGAACAAGAGTAAATGAGTTAACTTATATTTTTTTTTGCATCATAATGTTAACAAAAATTTGTTCGCTCAATGGTCATTCCTTATTTTGGGAAGTATTAGGTTGGGGGATCAAATCCCCCAACCTCACTTCCCCCACGATTTAAAAAAAAACAGTTGCAAAAAAAAAAAAAAACAAAGGAAGGCCGCCGGCGCCGGAGCTTCGGCGGCCGGTGGCCGGATTCCGGTGAGGCAGTGGCTTTCTTTTTAAAAAAAAAAATTAAAGAGGGGTATTTTGGTAATTTGGCCATGATTTCATAATTACAATTTGAGACCGGGTCCCTCATGGTAAGTTGGCATATTCAGGTGACCATAGAGTGATTTTGCTAATTTGAGGGTCTTTATTTGTGATTTCCCCTTTGTTTTTCATTAACCTCTGGCCCTCTCTAGTTAAAAAACTATTTTTTTAAAAAAGCCCATGTGTGCGCACCGACAACACAGGGTCTTTATCCTCTAAAGGAGTTGGATACTTGTAATAGAAGTTATAAGTTTAACTAAAATTAGACCACTCGGATAGCATATAGACTGGGAATATCAAATATTTTGGAATATTTAAGCTATTGATTTTTTACATAATTATTTTTTCATGCTTATATTTTACATAATTATATACTACCTCCTGTTTTTTAACGCTAAGAGGTGTTGTCTTCTTAAAATATCTTTATTAATTATGTATATTAATTAAAATTACTATTTAATAAAATATTTAATATATGCAACTATTATAAATATTATCTTAAAAAAATAAATAAATATAAAAGACAAAATAAATTAAAGTTTTATATCTAAAATTAAATTAAATATAAAACTAATTTTTATATTAAGAAAATACGCCAGTGGATGGTTAACCAGATGACTAATGTTTGGGCTTCAAATGGGAGAAATTAATAAAGGATTGGATGGCCACCTCTAGTTTCTCCTGACAAAATGGATCGTCTTGTTGATCTCTTGCACGTGTGGAGTGTGCAAGAAAAAAAAAAGACATAAAAAAAAGTTAGAAATTGTAATATTCTAATTCAAACACCTAATAAATTTAGGAAAGAAAGTGGTACATAATCTGGGAGTATTTTGTAAATGTAGTTAAATAACAAAAATGCTTTTGTATCCAAAAAATTTATTAACAAACAGTGAATTAGCAATGACAAACGTTAAAGAACAAATGACAAAAAATATACTAACAATGACAAGTTATTTATTACTAAGTTGTGAACTAATAATGACAAATGTTGAATAAAAAATATATGGCAATGACATGTTTGATATCTTTTTTTTTTTAAAATAACACAAAAATATTTTAGTCATTTGACTATATTTATAAAAATCATATGTGGCATTGTTTTTTTCTTTAAAATTTTAACTTTTTAGATGCTTAAATTAAAATATTACAATTTTTAACCTCTTTTATGTCACTTTCCCAAGGAAAAATTCTTCAGCCCAACTTACGACAATAATTTTTATTGCTAAATTCAAGTCTGATATTTTTTTCGCGATTGACTCTAGCAAGTCTTCAAAAATTCAACTGATAATGTTTTTTTTAACAATAATTAAGTCATATTCCAATCACAAATAGTCATATATTTTATATTAAGTGTTAATATTTCATAACAGAATATGTGGTTATGTGTAATTTAAAAACTTGATATAATAATAGATATAAGTAATTTCATCTAAGTATTTTTTATTTTTTTAAATTTTTAATAGTCCTCAAAAGATTTGATAAAATTTCCACTCCTCGGTTTGAAGAATGATTTCCTGACCAGTAAGGATTGTCTATTTTTTAATACTTCCTTCAATTTTAAATATAAAAACTAATTAACTAATTTGAGAAGATTCAGAAAATAAGTTAAGTTAGTTATTTGTCATAAATAGATGTTGTTTTTTTTAAAATATTCTTATTAATTAAACGTACTGGTTGAATGACATTATTAGAAAAACTACATTAAAAAATACATAAGTATAAAAAATAAAATAGATTGAGGTCTTATATTTAGAATAAATAAAAACTAAATAAAATCTTATATTAATAACCAATATAATACTTTTGTTTGTCTGTGTTAATTATTTATTTAATGGTGATTTTAAAATGAAAGAAAGAGGAAAGATTTGCCCAATCTACATTGATTCGATTTCGACAGCATATCTACTCCGAATTCGGAAAATATTAAGGAAGTGTCAGAAAATTTTTTTATACTTTAATTTTTGTTTTCATTGTTTTAATTCGTGAAAGATTATTTAATCAAAGGAAATTTTAAAAATAAAAAATAAAGGCTGGAGTAAGTCTAAACTTATCCCAGATTTTGGCTTAGTTATTTAAATTTATAAGGTATATTTCTGTTTTTTTTTTGCCGGCATATTTTCAGTACTCTAGTATTAATACTGTCAGACTCATTTAACAAAAAAAAATATGAGTATTTAGATGGTAATTTTATAATTAAAGACTAGCAAATCATAGCCTAAATATTAGTCTTTCGTATAATTATTTTTACATTTTAAAATTCAAATATTTAAATAATTTAGATATATAATAAAATATTAAAAATACTAAAACATTAAAAAATTAGGCATTTATAAAAATAATTATATTAAAAATAATTTAAAGAATGTTTTGTCAATATTTAATTACAGAATTACCTTTAATTAAATTTCTGGGTATTTTGTTGTGGAATAAGACTAACAGGGTTAAGATTAAAAAAATTAGACGTACTTTTTAAATTTAAAAAATTAAATTAAAATTTAATATAAATTTGAAGGATAAAACATATATTTTAGTAAATAAATAAAACTCAAGAAATCTCTATGATCGGTGTTTGGCGTCATTATAGTGCAAGACGCGGGTAGTTGGCAGGAAAAAAACGCGGGCAGATACTCTCTAATTAATTCCGCCGCCTGGTTAATTTTGCCGTCTGAGTTCTTAACTTAGCGGGTAAACCACACACGTGCAATTATTGCGTTTCTCCTGAGCCAAAATTCCGACGGGATATATGATACGCATCTACTGGATATTCATATTCTTTTGATCCCATCGTCGTCCTCGTCCCCACTTAAGATTTTCCCAGGAAAACATTTGCTTGCGTTTGCAGTCCGTACCCTCATGATCCACAAGCAACGACGTCGCTTTCGGGCTGTCCCATCGCAACCCAAACCACCTCACTTTGTCTTGGCTACCTCATTGCATAATTATCCCATCTTTTTCGCTGTTCTTCGAAAAGGCTTCACCGAATACCTTCACCAACTCTTCTAATTCTCTCACAGCCTTTCGTTCTCTTTCCAATATTCTATATTTCCATGGATCCGCAAAATTTTCTCCTCCTCTTCCTTTTTATATAAATTTCGCAGCCTTTTCATTTCCCTGTTAGGTATTTTTGCAGCCTCTTTCCACGGTCTTATTCAAACTTGGACATGATGGGGATGGCGACTGTGGGAAGACCGTACCTGAGAAGTTGTTCCCCGGGACTGGCGCTCCGCTTCGAACCGTCGCCGCCGCCGACGAAGCTAGGGTTTTTAGGCTTGAAAAATGCCGATTCTTTGGTCATGTTCAGATCGAGGGACTCGTTGCAAATGAAGGCCGTAGACGGGTCGAAGAGCGCGAGTTTTAATAGGATGAGTGTCACGGTGATGACAAGAATCCGGCGGATGTAACGAAATTATGAGCAATGGGAATGCCGGGAAGAAGGGTAATTTTTCAATTTGACTTTGATTTTTTATGGGGAGTTTGTATTGTTGCTATTATTATATACATATATATTGGAGAATTGACTTGTGGTGGCGGATGCATGCGTGGTGGCTTAAAGATGTTAAAAGGTGTTTATTCTTTCATTTGTTTCTTGTTCAGCCATGCGGGAAATTTTTGGTTAATTTGGCAAGACTTTGCCCAAAACATTGGGTTGCGGGTTTGAGTGGAATGTCAAAAGGAAACCAGTCGAGGAACTGACTTTTGTATATTTTTGTTTTGACTTGACAAAGTCATGCCCTAAGGATTCTGGCATATGTTGACTAACGAGGACATGTAGAAGTGATGTTGACTGTTCAACTTCACTATCTGTACCTTTCTAATCTGTTTTTCAATATCAGGGAGACATTTCGGGCAATTATCTACCCTTGCAAACTCAACGAATATTCTCTGGCATAAATGCGCAGTTGAAAAAGTTGATAGACAGAAGCTGCTTGATCAAAAGGGATGTGTAATATGGATCACAGGTCTCAGTGGTTCTGGTCAGTAGTCTGTTGATTCTGTTATTTTTAATTTCTTGCTTCTATTTCACTTTCGTTTGAAATAATTCCAAGTCAGCCTCATTCTGCCGGACAAACTTGACTAGTGTTCTTTGTTGCCCTGTTGAGAGTGCATGTTATTGTTTTTGTCCAAAAAGATCACTAAACAAGTGCCAACATCTTTTGGCCCTTCATACATAACCTTGTCAACTTAGTCCTGCAATAGTGTTTTCCCCAATCAAATTTGTTCCTCCATTTGTAAAAATCATGCTGACTGACTTCTCAATTTTATGTTTCAAAAGGACAAAAAGGATTTGGGAAAGTCATTGCAGAACTAAATTGATAGATATACACTCTGGAGGACCAAATTGAGATAGTCATGCTTTAAAGACGAAAACAATAATTTAGGCCAATCATATTTAGTTTTCTTTAGCCTCGTTATGCAAAGTGGTGTTGCAACATTTTAGGTGGTGTTATTGGCAGGCAATTTATCATCCATCAGATCTTTAAAGATTTCTCCCTCTCATCTGCATCCTTTATTTTATGATTTCTTTCGATGTTTGTATAAATTGTTTTGTTATGCTGTATTCATTGGCATTGTGTTGCTGAAGGTAAGAGGGAAGTTTTCTGGCTGAAAGAAAGGAACAAGGAATAGTTAGCGAGCTCAGCAATGCGAAGGATTATACAGTTATTGATTTGTACTGTCCAGTGTACAATTTTTTTCTGATTGATTATGATATATTTACTTCTTAAGTATGCCAATGCCAACATATATTTCAATGCAATCCAGTCTCCAAGTTATGTTCTTTCTGGGCTCTGACCTTTATTTGTTTCAAAATTGACAGGGAAGAGCACTGTGGCTTGTGCTCTAAATCAAATTTTGCATCAGAGGGGGAAGTTATCTTACGTTCTTGATGGGGATAATCTTAGGCATGGCTTGAATAAGGACCTTAGTTTTAAGGCTGAAGATCGTGCAGAGAATATTAGGAGAGTTGGTGAGCCACATCTACTTAATGTTTAGTTTCTTGTGGGCATGCCACAGAATCACTTTGTACTTATAACAATTGGAAAGTTGCCTGATTGTCGAGTTTGTGACTGCACATATGAATAGTGACTGTAATGTGTGCATGTGTGTTTCCATGATTTATGGGCTTAAAGAAAGATTTCTTATTCCATCAAGGTGAGGTAGCAAAGCTGTTTGCTGATGCGGGAGTCATTTGCATTGCAAGCTTGATTTCTCCCTTCAAAATAGATCGGGATGCCTGCCGAGCACTTTTGCCAGATGGAGACTTTATCGAGGTCACTACTTGTTAATTTTGATATGCTTTATGAATTCAAAGAAAATTGGCCTATGATTTGTTAAATTACTTGCGTAACATAGATATGACAGGTCTTCATGAATGTGCCTCTACAAATATGCGAAGAAAGAGATCCTAAGGGCCTTTATAAGCTTGCACGTGCTGGAAAGATTAAAGGTAATCTGACAATGCTAGTCTAGTATTTCCTTGATGTGAATATGGCTTGTACAAATTGATGCTCAAACCAGTCTTTCCACGATATTAACTTTTCAATGTTTCTGGCAATTTTTAGTCTAGAGGCATTTGCTTCTGCTGCTTTTGTGTTTAGCATTCTCGCACTAATACTGATACAAAAATATTCAGGCTTTACAGGGATTGATGATCCTTATGAGGTCCCTTTGAATTCCGAGGTATGTATGCAGTTTCAACTACACAACATCGTTGATGGACTTATGGGACATGCATGTATACACAAACGATATATTCATTAAAAGAGAAAAAGTTCCCGTGGATTAGCCTAGCTTTATAAAGCAGCTTTTGATCATATCAACACCAAAAAACTATTTTGGTACTAAATCCTACTCAAAGCACTTCCCAAGAGGCATACAGCGCTTCTAAGGAAATTAGAAGGTCAATTAGGCTATTGTTGCGAGATTATCTTTTAATAAACTTATAATACTTACAATAGACATTACAAAGAGAGAAAAGAAAAGTGAGCCCTGTGGTACCCTACAGCTTAAACAAATCCCTGTGCTATCTCTAGTGAATCTCTTTCTTGAAAAGTTTTAGTATATTTTTTCTTGCTTGGAGATAGTTGAGCTCAAACTGGGACGTCAGTTCGATCATTCAATTCCAAAGATAATTTAAAATCACTGAATCAAAGTTTATTGGTGATACCTAGTATATTTAATATTTTCTCCTTGACGATGCCTTGTCGGTATGAAAAATATCCTTGTTGTGAAGATATTCTTTGCGTGTTTTGTTCATCAGATAGTGCTAAAATATGGAGATCCGTGTTCGTCCCCTATTGAGATGGCTGAAAAAGTGGTCTTTTATTTGGAAGAGAAAGGTTACCTTCAAGCCTAATAATGGCGGCTTGTCCCTGCCATCACAATTTCGAAACTGTGCTTGCTATACGGCTTGCTTTAGTATCTTATTCTACGTCTTCTGCCTCATTGATGAAGTGATAAATTTACTAGCAAATTGCACTAATTTCTCCTCAGGTTTGGTTAAATTACGCCTTGTGCCTCATGTTTCAAAGGTTTGGTCAATCTCAGAGTTATTGCTATTTTATTGCAAAAATTGCCCCTTCATTTTTTTTATCAATATTTTTTGTGCTTCAGAAGAGCGATTCTTTTTGCCCAAAAAAACAAAAAAAGAAGAGGTATCAAGTGCAGTTTGGCCAAATCTCATGAGAGAAGTTATTGTAATTTTTTTAAAAAGGAGCATTCTGGCTGTGTATATAAATAACAGTGATTGTAGTTTGTAGATGATATTCTGAGATCTGGTAGGCTAGGATGCTTTTTCCGCCAAATCCTTCTGTGTAAAATTGACTTGTATCCATTATAAAATAAGATGTCTATTTATTGAGTTGATGATGTAAGGTTGTATGATGTATTAAGAATTTGTACAATGTGTTGTGAATTTCTTATTTGTTTAGCATAAGTGTGTTTTTGAAACATTATATAACAAAATGTTTTGTTTATTTACGGATTACCGAAAAATGCTTACAACATGTATGAATTCGACATTTTGTTAGAATTAATGAGACTTGGACATTTTATGGAATTCAAGAAAAATGTTTTACCTATATGTTCCCATGGAAGGCACGTTTTGCGAAATTTTATGTTTATACAAGGCACATCGAATTGTTAAGTAATAACTTTTTGCTTATATGTTTTTGGAGCGTATTTAAAGTTAATTACCACTTACCTAACAAATAATTTACTAACTATTTTTCTAGGCTCACAAGTTTTAGTCAAAAAATGTTTTATTGAAAATTTAAGTATTAATTAATGGCTTATAGATATTAGGTGCAAGACTTTTTTTTTTCTTTTTTCTCTAGGCAATCCTTGAGGAAAATCTTATTTACGATATTCTTAAACATTAAATGTAAGCACTCTTTTGTATGCATGCGTGGATGATGATGATGTTGAATTATTATTATTATTATTTCCAATTTTTTCACTATTTAAATTTGAACTTTGAATATTTTTCTTAAAATTTTGATCAAATTAATATGGGTTACAAAAGTTGTGAGACGATTATTAATCCACGTGTCCCTAGTTTAAAGTAAATCAAATAGGGGTTGCTGAGCTCCCCTTTCGATCGGATGAAGTTACATATCTTTATTTGGGCTTAAGAAATTGAGAAAAGAATATTCAAATATGATGATGCTTTGGCAAAAATGATGATGCATTTTTTTATTGCTCAAGAATATTCCTTGCACGAGACTGTGATCCATGAGAAAAATTCTATGAGCTCCCGTTATCAGCATTCAGTAGTAAATATCCAGAGATCAGAAGCAGTAGTAGGAGATATGTATGCTCAAGGAATCTGTTTCAGACTGCATAACCTGAAATGAAGATCATTTCTGAGAATATGAAATCATCATGAATTGAACGGCTAGAATCTAAAACTCATAGATGCCTCGACAAGTCATCTTACATGTTCATCTTCTTCCCGCAAATTTGAGTTGACCCCCGCACAGTGCAAGAACAGCCGAGGAATGTAGGCGTGGGAAAATTGAGGTTGTTTGGTGCGATGTTGGAGGATTTAGCAGGAAAAAAAACTAAGAAAATGAGGGAAACAGGAAGAGAATATTCTTCTCATCTGGTTCTTCTTCTGATTCTGATCACAGTGACAGCCATGTTTTTCAAGTACTGCAAGATTCTGGAGAAGCGAATTTCTTGAAGCTCCCAAATCGTTGAAACGCAGAACCAAACTCCGTCTTTAACCACTTTAAACGAATCCATAACACACGCGACTTGGAAAACTCATTCCCAGAGCTGCTGAGTTACAGAAGTAGAAGAAGAAGAAGGAGAAGAAGAAGATTCAAAGATCCAAAAAAGGAATATCAAGTTTAGCGTGGGAGCCAAACTATGAAACTAACACAAGTCCCACCATTGGTGAATATTCCGGAAGCAATACTTTTCTTTCAGGTGGCAAGTGGTGAGCCACTTTCTGAACAAAAAGAGATGATTCTCTATGATTTTGTTCTCAATGAACATCTGCACCAACTATATTTAATTTAGTTGGCCATGTGTATTATTACAAGGGGTGTGTGGCTGGGAAATTAGTTATGAATCGTAAATAGTTACTACAACATGGTTTTATATTTTATATATTGATATTGACAATATTTTATATAATTTAAATGAATTTTTAAATAAAGTATATAAAATGAACATGATTTTCTTAGAGGTACATTTAGTTTTTTTATATTCTATATTAACAATGCTTTCTACCTTAATAAACGTCTAATATTATTGCAATTTATTTACGAAAATTTTACCGGTCATACTTATTATATAGATTTTCTTAGCATGTGCAAAAATAAAACAATAAAAGAATTAAATTAAAATGTGAATGATCCTAACACAATTTATATAGTTCGAATCACATGTTTATTTACATATTTTGTTGGTAAGAAGAAACATAATTTCTGTCCAAGAGCTGGTATAAGGAGGAGAAGCGTTGCTTGTTTTAAATTTTTTTTTTATTTATAGAAAATTAGACTTTTTTTTAAGAGAGGATAACAAATTTTTTTTTTTTGGAAATATTACGCTCATCTTTTTAACATTTAAATATGAGAATATTGAAGGAACAAAGTGGCGAGGAGTTCAATAAAATGTGTGGAGAAATTTACAGAATAAAAAAGCAGCTAAAAATTCGGGGTAAGCCTCATCATAACCTGTCAATAGGATAGCTTTCTATAAATTTTAGATTTAATATTGATATTTGAATGTTTTGAGCTCTTAACTATTGAATCGAACTATGGAATCGTTTTGAAATTTGTATTAAAGTTATATTTTAGGAGAAATTACAAAAAAAGATCTTAGAATGGTAAAAATACAAATAGGGACCCTTAACAACTTCACTTTGGGTTTTAACAACTTTATGACATATTATTATTGTCAAAACCCAAAGTGAAGTTATCAAAGGTTCCTATCTGCATTTTTACAATTCCAAAGTCTTTTTTTTTACAATTTTCCATATATTTTATTATTATGAAAGATTTTTAATATAAATAAGAACATGTGTAAGATGTGTACTCCGACTCATTTTATTAAAAGAAAAGAAAAAAATCTTTGCTTATTGGATTCCTTAGTTGTCAATATGGAGGTGAGGTGGGTCCCATGACTGTACATTTTGGTAGCCATCATGTTCATCAATAATTCACTCTTATTAGCGCACTAAAACCTGATTTGTCCATTGGCAAAAAATAAAAAATAAAACCTGATTTGTCAACAACTTAATTTGTTATCTATGCTTTGAAAAATGTGTACATCTCAGCAACAATTTTTATTTTTTTAAAAGCAATCATATGTAGTTGGAGTGTTTGATTTTGCATGCCTTCCATCTCTATCAAAATCTTGAGACGTTTTTCCCCTTTCAAGAACATTTTCAAAAAGTTAGATTCTTCACGTTGTGGTTAATTTATAGGCGGTTCACATGGTGGGACAGTCACATACTTTAGATCATAATTTATAGCTGAATACAGAGAATTCTTAATAAATTTGGAAATATTTGATTTTATCACAAGTTGGAGGATGCTAAAAGCATTGTACTCTCTCTTGCTGTGTTATATTGTTCTCTGATAGAGTGTGAGAAGCGAACTTGGCCAGTGATTTGGGACAAATTGAACAAACTGATTCACGAATCAGTGGATTTGCTTTGCTCTTAAGATCTGATAAAGTAGTTGTTAGGTTAAGTATCTTCATAAAGCCAATGCTTTGCGAGGGAAAAGTACCTATATGTGTGATACCGACACACATAGAAAGCCAAAAAGTAATATGCTACTCCCAGGAAACATCCTTTTCAGCGCTGCCCAGATTATCTGTAATATTAAGTTTGGAACAGGAGGGTAACTTATCTAGACCTCAAATTGAACTCTCTTAGAAAATCAAAAGAACCCTTAGGTCTAATCTCATTTCTTAATTCAGATGAAAAGAGAGAATCTAGTAACATCTGTTGAGTTAATAGCACTGATATGAACCATAAATGGGAGTACAGGTGATAGGTCTCTCCAATCAATCCATTCAAGCCTAACCTTCATGTTTCTGTTTAGATAACAAGCCCCAATTCGAATCCTTGCCAATTTCTTGGTTCCAATTGAACATACAGGCCAGTTAGGCAAATTGTTTGTCAAAGCTCCGAATTTTAACCATGCCCATATCTAATTTATTGGCGATGGGCCAATTGCAGGATCAAAATTATATTGGGCAAGTGCCTTTCAAACTGGAAAAATACATTAGATGAAGAAAAAATGCCTATTTAGCCATGGTCAACTGAAAACCGTAATCTTTTCGACAGAAATCCACAAGCAAGAGGCCACTGATCTTCGTGAAACAAGCAATTCTACTGGTTCAATTTCTTCCATAATATTGTAAACAGAAATTCCTGCCTCGTCAACTGAGAACTTTTCTCTTGGTCGATAAGTGAAAAAATACAGCAGTTAAGTGAGAAATGTGATCCTGCTTGGAATTTCAAGTTTCCTGCAAACTGCACACTGCAATCTGCAAACACATCACCTCAAGGTCACTTGTTCTGGATCGGATTTGAATTGCTTGGAGGCGCCTTCCTTAAACTTGTATCCGCAGATCTCCCGGAAGCTTCATGGCGTGTTTCTAAACTAGATATCATCGGAGAGAATGAGGAGGGATAAGCTAGCAACTTTCTTGGCGAATACCAATCCATCAGCTGGCTACTTTCAGCCTCACAGCTTGCTGGAACTCTAGAACACCGAATGATATGTATGAGAATCAGTATAAAGAAAGCCCTTCTTTGAGTGTTATTCATGGCAGATTGGCTTAGACTAAAAATGGAACAGATAGTTAAGGGATCAGGAGTTTCATCTATCCCAGTAGATCACTTCCATTGTGCAGATAGAAGGGGGATATGCATCTAAAAGGTGGAGCACCTTCTCGACGTCAAAGTTTCTTATCGGTATATAGAATGGTTCTGTGACTGGATCGAGTACCAAAATACTATCCCTACAGTTATAGTAGACACTGGTAGTGTGAAAGATTTCAGATTTAGGGAAAGGGAAAGAAGTAGCTGCCAAAGATGGATTGTTCCACAGGGCACATTATCTTTGGTGTTTTGTCGGATTGAACGTGGAATGGAGATTGTCATGTGATACTAAGTTTTGAATCTTACACTTTTCTGTTTTCTCTATAATCTGTTTGATGTAACATGGCAAACGTTTCGTGTGACAGTCACATGATACAAGATCGGTTTCTTCATTTTCTCAAGTTTATGATTAAATTAACTTGATCGTACCCTATTGGTTTCTGATGAGTGTGGCAGCAACAGCGAAACTCGGCTGGGTAAGATTGTTATACTTTTTTCCCAAGGGTAAGATTGTCATACAGAACCTGGAAGTTTCTTTTCCTCAGCAGTCTTTGTTCATATCCTGAAATTCAACCAAA